GGGTCGGGGTCGGGGTCGGGGTCGGGGTCGGGGTCGGGGTCGGGGTCACGGTCACGCCGGGCCGAGCCCCGGCTGGTGAGGGGGTGTCGCCGCCCGGCACTGCGCAGGCCGGAGCCCTGCAGCGCCGCGGGGGTCCCGCACCGGCCTTCGTGAGGCGAGGCGCAGCCGGGTCCCGAGGCAGGGCCGGGCCCTGGCGCTGGGCCCAGCCCGGGCGGGAAGGGCCCTGAGGGCCAGGTGGTGGGTGACTTCTCCTTTGCCCCCACAGCGAGGGCCATGGCCGCGCCCTGGGAGGACGTCCTGCGGAAGGAGGCGGCCGTGCGGGAGGCGGCGCGGGTGGCCGTGGATGCGGCGCTGCTGGCGGGGGTGCTGATGCGGACCGAGGACCAGCCCAACGCCTCGGATGTAAGCGGCGGAGCCGGGTCACGGGACGCTCTCGCTGTTCGGTCCTGGCCGGGCTGTGAGTCAGCAAAGCGAGAGGAGAGCGGGAAAGAGCCGGCCGCCATCCTGGGGTCAAGGGACAAGCGCTTCGCCCTGAGCCCCCAAGCTGCCTCACAGCCGGCCCCAGGGGCTGTAACCTACCCCCCGTCCTGCTGATGGGCACATCGCCCCGAGAGACACCCCTGTGATACAGTTCCCCTTTCCCAAGGGGAGGGATATGGGAAATGGTCAGGAGCCCTGTGTGTGTGTATGTGGTGGGAGTTCATCCCTCTCCCAGCCTCTCACCACCCCCAAATGATCCTTTGAACCAGGGAAGTGTCCTGTCTGGAGGGGCCTCTGGTTTTGGCCTGCTCCCAGCTACAAGTCAGGATATACCCCGTACTAGGGGTGAGGTGACGGGGTCAGGAGTGGCCAACACGTGGGATTACTTCTTGTGAATCTCTGGAAGTTGGCTGGGGTGGGGGTGCTGAGGGTGGGGGGCAGTTGGCCTGTTGGAGGGGGATGCCACAAGGTGTCTCAGAGAAAGAACTGCTCCAGTGCAAGAAGGGTGGGACACCACGAGGGCTGCAGAGCCTGTGGGCAAGCAGGCAGCTGTGTTCAGAGCTGGCAGAGGAATGATGAGGAAGGTCTCCACTGTGGGAGCTGCACCATGATGTCAACCCCATCGTCAGGTCAGGGCTTCGAGGGAACCTCAAGGGTTGAGAGGAAGAGGGAACTTGGAAGGAGAGACCAAACGTACTGCCAGTGTCCCTTGGCTCGCGTAAAAGTCAAAGTGAATTGGGAACTTCTCTCTGATGTAAAATATTTTGGCTTTGAGGGTGGCTCTGTGTCTGAGCTGTGAGGTGAGCCAGGCGTCCGGAGTAACCCCTGGGACTCAGTGAGTAGGGATCAAAGGAAACAACTCTCAATGGCCAAAAGCTAGGACCAGCAAATTCACCTTTTCTCTGAAACTGAGGCATTTTGGAGATAGCACTCTCCAGTTAAGGTGGAAACAGCATCCTTCAGAGGGAAGCCCTCAGCCCAGCTGGAGCTTTGGAGCAGCTGCTCCTGCCTCTGCAGGACCCCACAGATGGCTCATAAAGCAAAGCCCTCAGAAGTCAGGGGTCAGCAGGCACGAGGCCGTGGGTCTGTCCAGGGTGCACCAAGGGGGCCTAGGGATGGCTTGAGCCTTCAGCCAAGCAGAGGAAGCACCTTTTTAGCCCCACTTAAAGTTCACTGTCCAGGGTGGGTTTCCAACCCTGTGGGCCCTTGTGTGTTGAGACCTGACTTCTCTGCTGCCACATTCTTGTTTGCAGGTGGTGAATTATGCTCCCTTCACGCTGCTCCCCTCTGCAGTACCAAGTGCCCTGTTTGAACAAGCGTATGCTGTTCAGCAAGATTTTAACCTGCTGGTGGATGCTATTAGCCAAAACAAAGAATTCCTGGAGCATACTCTGGCCAGGTAACTTTCTTTCATGTGGCATTTTAATGACGTGTTTTAAAAGTGAGCTATTTCTTACCCTTCGGGCGTTCTTACCTTCCATCTGCTCATCTCCCTCAAGCTGAGGCAGGCAATCCTGGCCTCTGCAGAAATTGTCTCCTTCGCTGCATTATCTGTCCTAAGACTAATTTCCCTCAAGTTTCTGTGTTTTGAGGTCTCCTTGGGCCTCAGAAGATGGGACGTCTGGCCAAGAGTTCACTCCCTGCAATCATCAGACTTTTTTTATCAGAGGTTGATGGTTGACTATATGACCTTAAGGTCCTTTCCAAACGATACAATTCTATGATTCCTTCAATTCTGTGATTCTATCATCTTCAGTTTTGCCAGTGTTTAAAGTTTGTGAATTCTTACTTGTGAGCTCGTTGGCCTCTAAACCTTAAATTCAAATTGTCGGAGGCTTTTTTGAGTCCTAGACTTAGTGGTCTGTTTTGGTCTCGTTTTGCATCTGCCTGTGGCTGTCCCAATAACCACCAGCCCTGCTGCCTGCCCGCAGTTCTGAAGAGAGGCTGTTTGTTCCTCCCCCCATGCCTACCTCTGATCAGTCACCCCCTGTCCCCTGCTTTCCCAGCCATGCCAGGAAGGTGACCTGGGTGACTGGTCGTCTCTGGCTCATGAGCTCTGCTGGATTTGATTGATTCTGTGATTCTATTGCCTTCTAGCCCTTTTCTTGTAATAATCACTGAAAGACAATTTCTTCTGCTCGAAGATATTTGTATTCCCGTCTCCTTTCCAAAAATTATTTAATTTGATTTCTCTAGAACATTTCTTCTAGAAAATCTTTACAGTTACTTAGGCAGTTTCATCATTTCATTGGGAAAATTCATAGTATTTTATTAATTACATTTTTCTTTTTTTTTTCCTAAAACAACCAGGTATCATGGTCTATTTCCTAAACACAGTGCTGGGTTTTTAAGATGGTCTGATATTTGAGGCCTTGCTTAAAATTTCAAGCTTTACTTTTTCATTCCTAGAATTTCTTCTTTTTTTTTTTTGAGGTTTTGGTTTTTTTTTTTTTAAATGATGGCAACCCCCCACCCCCATTCCTTCTTTTTGCCCCATGTTCCCATCAGCTGTACCTTTGTCATAGTCCTGTTTCCCACTGATCGCTTCCTGTGGGCAGTTTCATGCCTCTGAGTGGTCCCACCCAACCTAATTGCTCTGCTGGAGTTCATCAAGGTGTCACTAACGATGCAGAATCCTCAGCACATGGAGCGTGTGTTCCTTGGCACCATGAGCCCATCACAACCTGCCATGGGAGCGAGCCTGGGGGCCTGATGGTCCTCTCCTATCAAAGTTCTTCTGTGATTTACTGGTGGCTTTTGCCCTGTGCTGGAGCAACCACCCCTGACTCTGGCCCCTGTAATCTGTAGGGCTGATGCTTCCACAAAACCCATTGCCCTTCCTGCTGGCTGTTCTGTGCAGGTGCTGATGGCTCTCTGGCACTGGGACAGAGCAAAGGAAACTGTTCTCCATCCTTGTTCTTCTTTTGCTAAAGCTGGACCCCTCAGAGCTGATTCAATGCTTGTGCCTGTTCCAGAGCTGCCCGCAACCAGAGCTTGTGTGGGCACGTTGATACCTGTGGTTCAGGAACACGGCGCCTGGGGTTTGTGTGCCTTCACACAGTCTCAGGGCATCTCCTTGGAGGTGCTGCTCACAATCGGCTCAGGAATTTGGGACGCTGAAGAAAAGCCAGACCTACTCTAGCAGGGCCACTGAAGCACTTGGCACCACACCGCACAGGATTTGGAGCCCCACAGGACAGGGGGAATTTGATGAAGCTCCTTGAAGCTTCTTCTCTGAACTGTGTGTGCAGGCACAAAGAGACTTCTGATTTTTGTCCTGAACCTGCAGAATTCTGCTACATTTCTTTGCTTTTGCTGGTCCTCTCTCTCTGCCCTGCAAATGAAAGTCACCTCTGCGCAGCGGTGCTTTTTGTAGAGCAGCTGTGCTGAGCAAACTGGATTTGTGCTACAGTTATGCACTGTGGCCCTTGCTAAGGAGTGTGTTCGTGGTGAGATGCTTACCAGCACTGGTCTTAACTTGGTCTAGCCACAGCCTGGCTGTTTGTGCAGGAGAATGTCCCTGGCGAGGTTTTTTTTCTTTCTGGAGAGGAATTAATTTTCTTGTTCTCCTGTGACAGTGTAAGGGGGTTGATCTGCTCTGTCTTTCTCTCTAGCACCATCAAGGTAGATGACTTCACAGCTCGGCTCTTCAGAATCCACGTGCAAGTTTTGGAGGAAGGCTTGGCTCAGGTACCTTGGCAGGAGACCCCAGGGCTCAGCAGCTTCCTCCCTTCCCGGTGGGGTGGGGTTGCCTGGGCTCTGTCTGTGAGCTCGCTTGCTGCTCTGGGCTTTCAACTGTCCCAAAGTCAGGCCGATTGCTCCCTATGCTACAATGTCTTGGTTACAGCTCAGGACCTTGCCCTGTTTGATGGCCATGTCCTTTAGTTAGTGCTGCTGGCATAGTCAAGCCTTAACTGGGAGGGTTTAATATGGTTTGTCTTTGCCCTCTGGGAGCCCCGGGAGAGGGCAAGCCATGGCAGGACCTGTGCTCCACAGGCTGTACCTGCAGAAGTTCCTTTGCTCTCACGAGTGTTGCTGACTCCTCTGGAGTATTGAGGAGGGGCTGTGGGCCCTCAGCAAGGGCCACAGCACCCACAGACATGTCTTGCAGAGGTTTTTATCAAAATGAAGGTGATGGGATTTGCAAGGGATTTGCAATTAAAGGCAACGGGAGAGCCCTGCTGGGGGCAGAGTGGCTGGAGAGCTGCCTGGCAGAAAAGGACCTGGGGGTGTTGGTCGACAGTCGGCTGAACAGGAGCCAGCAGTGTGCCCAGGTGGCCAAGAAGGCCACCGGCATCCTGGCCTGTATCAGGAACAGCGTGGTGAGTAGGGCCCGAGAGGTGATTGTCCCCCTGTACTGGGCACTGGTGAGGCCTCACCTTGAGTACTGTGTCCAGTTTTGGGCCCCCTACCATAAAAAAGACATTGAGGTGCTGGAGCGGGTCCAGAGAAGGGCAACAAAGATGGTGAGGGGTCTGGAGAATAAGTCTTATGAGGAGAGGCTGAGGGAACTGGGGTTATTCAGCCTGGAGAAGAGGAGGCTGAGGGGAGACCTTATTGCTCTCTACAGCTCCCTGAAAGGAGGGTGTAGAGAGGTGGGGGTCGGTCTCTTCTCTCAAGTCACAGGCAACAGGACGAGAGGAAATGGCCTCAAGTTGTGCCAGGGGAGGTTCAGGCTGGAGATTAGGAAAAATTTTTTCACCGAAAGGGTTCTCAGCCATTGGAATGGGCTGCCCAGGGAGGGGGTTGAGGCCCCATCCCTGGAGGTGTTCAAAAGCCGGGTTGATGTAGTGCTGGGAGGTCTGGTTTAGTGATGATGCTCCTTGTTTGTTGTGTGGGTGTCTATTTTTGTCAGTTAGGCTGACGGTTGGACAAGATGATCTTTAAGGTCCCTTCCAACCTAGAAGATTCTGTGAACCCGCTTCACCTCCCCTCTGTTTCAGTCTGTGTTTTTAGGCATAAACCGCTCTGATTACATGTTTGACTGCGGGGTGGACGGGACACCAGCTTTGAAGCAGATAGAAATAAACACCATTGCTGCCAGCTTCGGAGGCCTCACCTCCCGCACTGCCGCCGTCCACGGGTAAGGGAGCATCTCTGGCCCCTGCTGCCAGGTGCTGCAGCAGCTGTACTGTGTGGCCTTGCCTTTGTGTGCTCCCCAAACTCCTGCTCCCTAGCTCTGGTGGGAGGCTGCCCTGGCATTTACAGCTTTTGGGGTTTTTTTTTCTGTTCCCCAGGCAGGTGTTGAAAGTGCTGGGGAAGTCTGAGGAGGCGACGCGCCTGTTGCCCAACAACCCAGCGAAAGGGCTTGCCTTGGGTATTGCAAAAGCCTGGGAGCTCTACGGTTCACCAGGGTAAGGAGAAAGGAGGTGCTAGAGGCTGCTTTGTCTTGTCTCCCTTGGGGATCCAGATTTTTTATTTTGAAACTGGACTTTCTGAAAGATGCCTCTTTGCTGGACAAACTGCTCTCCAAGAGCTAGGAAGAGCAATGTGGTTGTCTTAGTGTGCAAGGCTGCTGTGTCCTAAAGGCAGAGAGGTGCCCAGGGACCCTGGAGGAGGAGTTGTGTGGTTCAACAGCCCTGCACAGAGCTCACTTTTCCTCCTGCCTCTTCCTTCTTTATGCTTGTGCCCTGCACTGGTTTAGTAATGACACAGTATTGGTCCTGCTCTCTATTTGCAGACTGATCCTTAGAAATGCTGGAAAAAAACAAGCAGGAACAGTGCAGGAAGCCTGAATCATGGAGATCAAAAGCTGGTGATCCTGGGTGCCTGTAGAGTGTTTCTGGGCTTAATGATGTCCTTGGTATCTCTTCCAGTGCTGTGGTGATGTTTCTGGTGGAGGAAGTCCAAAGGAACATTTTTGATCAGCGATGTGTAGAAAATGAGCTTTGGAACAGGTAAAGTTTGACTTTTCCTGGGATGGGAGAGGGAGGAGACGCTACAGTTTTGGAAGAGGGAAGCAGAATGAAGTGCTGCTGGGTCATGGTGTTTCCCTCAAGGCAGCTTGTGGGGTGTCTCCGGGCTCCCCAGCAGGCATGGCGCTGGGGGGGGATGTATAGGAGCAGGTCATGGAAAGATGGGGTTGTGCAGAATCTTTGCTTTTTACTTTGTCACCTACTCAAGGATAAAGTCCAAACACTTCATCGTTTCTGGGACTGTGAGAGGGCATGTCTTGGTATGTAACAGGGCAGCCTTTATCTTGGACTTATCTCTGTGGACTGTTTCGCAGCTGTCTTCAGCGTTCCTTTGGTGGCCTCCTGCCTAGCCTCACGCCCACCTTTGTCTTCACACCAGTCTCCCAAAGCCTCTCACCAGCTCTTTGCTGGAAATACCAACAACCATCAAAGCCTCTGGCCTCCAGGGCTGATTCCTTGCTGGTTTTGTGGGTGTGTAGTCCTCAGTAGCGTTGCTGTGGGTCAAGTGTCTTAGATGAGACAATAAGGACCGGAATGGGGTTAATGAGGGTCCTGCTCACAGAATCACAGAATGCTATGGGGTTGGAAGGGACCTCTGGAGATCATCCAGTCCAACCCCCTGCCAGAGCAGGTCCACCCAGAGCAGGATGCACAGGAACGTGTCCAGGTGGGGCTTGAATGTCTCCAGAGAAGGAGACTCCACCACCTCCCTGGGCAGCCTCTTCCAGGGCTCTGCCACCCTCACAGGAAAGAAGTTCCTCCCCATGTTTAGATGGAACTTCCTATGTTCAAGTTTGTGCCCGTTCCCTCTTGTCCTGACACTCACTCTCTAACTCCTCGCTCTCTGACTGGGGTGGTATTTCATAAGAGCTTAATACTATTGTGAAAGATGTGGGCAAAGCAAGCAACGGGGCAGCAGAGTAAAGGACTGGGGAGAAGGAGGTGTTTTGATAAGGTCCTGTGCTGGAGCTGTGGGGAGCATGTGGCATCTCCTCTTCAGATCAGCAAGTCCACACTGCCGCTGTGTGGAGGAAAGACTATAAAGCATGAAGGAGGTAAAACATGCAGGAAGTTGCTCTACTGCTCTTGGCTCTGAAGCCAGCAGTGGGTGAATCTGTTGTTCGGGGATAAAAAACACTAAATACTGACTTTTTATGGAAACGTTTCAGGAGGTGAAGGGTGAGTATGGAGAAATCCAGGATGTTTAAGCCTGTGTTCTGCTCTGGACAGTGAAACATAGGACAGGTACCAAAACCAGGGACTGTTTTAGCCTGTAGGCTTCCTCTGGCTGCGTAGTACAAAGCCTGAGGTTATTTGTGGAGGAGTCTTCAGATCCTCCTTGCTGGAGCCACTGGTTCCACCAGTGATTTCTAGCTCAAGTAACTATGCCCAGCCTGATGACTCTCCCACTCCTCTCTTAACAGGAACATTCGGGTCATCAGGAGGCGATTCAGAGATGTGTTTGAAAAGGGCTCTCTGGATGATGCCAGAAGGCTGTATGTGTGAGTATGAGCCAAGGTGCGCGTTCCTGGCTGTGCGTTGGGCACACAGGGCTGTAAATGGGAATTTTCAACCAAAGCTGGTGGTATGTTTTGAGTGTAAATAGTGACTTTCAGAGAAAGCAGTTCTCTCCCGTGCTCCAGGCGGCTGCTTCTGCATCCCCTTAGAGCTGAAACGATTTTATTTTCCCAGTGGTGAGATTTTTGCATACACACATCAATCCCTTCCAGCTGGAAACATCATTTCCCTCCTTCAAGCCGCAGCCTTGTGACCTCTGCGGGATCTTTACTTCCTCCACATACATCTGCTATGAACAAGTCACAGCTATTTCAGGGGCTTCCACGGAGACATTTCCTGTTTACCCTTCCTGTGGTGCTCTGCCAGTGGGAGCTGGGCTTGGTTGTTAGGGCTAGAGGAGGTGGTGTTACGTGTCCTCTTGGTTTTGGACACACTCAGCGTCTTGCCTGCTCCCTGTGGATCACAGAATCCCAGAATCTTCTAGGTTGGAAGGGACCTTAAAGATCATCTTGTCCAACCGTCAACCTGACTGACAAAAATAGACACCCACACAACAAACAAGGAGCATCATCACTAAACCAGACCTCCCAGCACTACATCAACCCGTCTTTTGAACACCTCCAGGGATGGGGCCTCAACCACCTCCCTGGGCAGCCCATCCCAATGGCTGATAACCCTTTCAGTGAAAAAATTTTTCCTAATCTCCAGCCTGAACCTCCCCTGGCGCAACTTGAGGCCATTTCCTCTCGTCCTGTCGCCTGTGACTTGGGAGAAGAGACCGACCCCCATCTCTCTACACCCTCCTTTCAGGGAGTTGTAGAGAGCAATAAGGTCTCTCCTCAGCCTCCTCTTCTCCAGGCTGAACACCCCCAGCTCCCTCAGCCTCTCCTCATAAGACTTATTCTCCAGACCCCTCACCAGCTTTGTCGCCCTTCTCTGGACCCACTCCAGCACCTCAATGTCTTTTTTTATGGTAGGGGGCCCAAACTGGACACAGTACAGTGGAGGTCAGGACAGGCGGGTCTCAGGCTCCAAGTGCTGGCAGTTGGTCCCAAGTGTGACGTTTGTCCCATTACCATGGTGATGTGCTTGGAGCCATACAAGCCTAAAGGAAGATACGGTTTCACACCAATGTTTTTTCTGTAGTTAGGCTAATTTTTCCATGGTTTGACCTTTGGTGCCTCTGCTGTGTCTAATTAATGAATACTTTTGTCATCGCCAGGCAGTTAAGGGGAAAGTGTATCCACTGTACTTCCTCCAGAGCATCCTCTCCTCTGACTGATGAATCCCTTTACACTTTCACTGCTTGGCTGCCAGCAGTTTCTGTGCTGCTTTTCCTCAACACAGCACAGTTTGTGTGGCCAAAGCTTGGGTGTGTGGCGCTGTGTGCAGGCTGACAGCCCTGCCCTGGCAGGATGGTTTGGTGCCTGGGCGGGTTGTTGAGTTGCTGTCCTGCCTTAAATGACCACTGGAGAAGGTCCCTGTTCCCTCCCAGCTTCAAGAATCATAGAATTGTCCAAGTTGGACGGGACTTTTCAGATCATCGACCCAACACTGCCACAAACCATCACTAACCCATGTCCCTCAGCACCACTTCTGCCCGGCTTTTAAATACCTCCAGGGATGGTGCCTCCACCACTGCCCTGGGCAGCCCATTCCAATGCTTGACAACCCTTTCAGTGAAGAAATTTTTCCTAATGTCCATCCTAAACCTCCCCTGGCACAACTTGAGGCCATTTCCTCTTGTCCCATCACCTGTTTCTTGGGAGAAGAGACCGACCCCCCCCTGGCTACCCCCTCCTTTCAGGGAGCTGTAGAGAGCGAGAAGGTCTCCCCTCAGCCTCCTCTTCTCCAGGCTGAACCCCCCCAGCTCCCTCAGCTGCTCCTCACAAGACTTGTGCTCCAGACCCCTCACCACTCCACTGCCTTTCTCCCATAGGTTCTTGCCTCCCTGCTGGGCTGGGTGCCTGAATTATTGCGATTTTGGTTAGTCAGGGCAGAGGCTGCATGTCAGCTCCGTGTCCCAGGACAGGAGAAGCCAGCTGGGACTCAGAGGAGAGGAGCCAGGGCTTCCAGCCCTCCCCTTCTCTGGCAGAGGCAGCCAGGAGCAGCCGAGGAGGCCAAGGAGAAGGGGCAAACGCTGCGACACATTCCCTGCCTGACCCCATTGCAGCCCCTCTGGTGTGGGGGGTTTGAGCAGAGGCTGGCCTGGTTCTCTGAGTGCTTCTGGTTTCTGTTCCAGGGACGGGCAGGAGGTAGCAGTGGTGTACTACAGAGAGGGCTACGTGCCAAAGAACTATGACCAGCAGGTCAGTACTGGCCCCTCTGCCCACGCTGCGGCCTTTGAAATGCCCCGTGATCCCAGGGGTGTCTGTCCTGTCCCGGGTGGAGTTAGTCCTGTGTGTGGGATAGGCTGGGATAGGCCTCCCTCACTGGGAGGCTGTGACTGCAGCACGTGTGGGTGTCCCTGGTGCACACACAGTGAGGAAAACGAGTGACTTTCTTCTCTAATAACCACTCGTGGTGACGTCTTACTGCAGCATCGAACTGCTTCTGTAAAATATGGGTTAAGGCAGGTATTAGCACCTGCTTAAAGGGTTTAGACTTGATCTGCAGATGGCTTTCTGTCCTCTGCTGGTGCTCTTAGGCTGCGGGTGATGATAATGCAGGCAGATGCTGCTGTTGTCTGGAGGTGGCAGCACGGGACAAGCTGGGGAGGTGCAGGCCGAGGCTGTGGACGAACCTGCCTTTGCTGTTTCCAGAAGCGGTGGAAAATTCATGTATGCACCCCTGCTTGTCTCCGGAGTGCTGTTCCCATCCCCCCCACCCCAGCCAGGCAGGGGTGGGAGGAGGCACATCATATGAAGAGAAAAGGGTGGAGAAAACATATTATATTTTGTTAATTATTTTTTTTTTTTGCTGACGGAACGGTTGCTCTCTTTCTGTCTCAGAACTGGGAGGCGCGGTTGTTGCTGGAGAGGTCGAGGGCAGTGAAGTGCCCTGACATTGCCACCCAACTGGCAGGCACCAAGAAGGTCCAACAGGAGCTGAGCCGGCCGGGGACGCTGGAGAGGCTGCTGCCCGGCCGCCCCGAGGCCGTGGCTCGGATCCGAGCAACGTTTGCTGGGCTCTATTCCCTGGACATGGTGAGCGTGAGCAGGGCCAGAGCAGGAAGGAACGTGCAGACGTGTGCTCGGCCTGTGTGATGTTTCTCTTTTGTTAAGAAGAAGACAAGGCTTTGTTGTGGTCCCTGTGGGACCCTGTTGGTTGATCCTGCTCAGCCCCTGCTCCTCCCTGATGCTTTGCTGTTGCAAATCCTTTCCTGCCAGGGTGAAGAGGGAGACAAGATTGCTGCCATGGCTATCGCTGACCCTGACCGGTTTGTGCTGAAGCCCCAGCGTGAAGGTGGAGGTAGGAGCCAGCAGGAGTAGGGGAGTCATCGTGCCTCTGTACTGGGCACTGGTGAGGCCTCACCTCGAGTGCTGTGTTCAGTTTTGGGCCCCTCACTACAGGAAAGACATTGAAGTGCTGTAGTTTGGAGAAGAGGAGGCTGAGGGGAGACCTCATTGCCCTCTACAACTACCTGAAAGGAGGGTGTAGAGAGGCAGGTGTTGGCCTCTTCTCCCAAAGGACGAACGACAAGACCAGAGGAAATGGTCTGAAGTTGGGGCAGGGGAGATTTAGATTAGATATTAGAAAGAACTACTTTCCTGAGAGAGTGGTCAGGCCCTGGAACAGCCTGCCCAGGGAGGTGGTGGAGTCACCATCCCTGGAGGTATTTAAGAAACGTATAGACATGGCTCTTCAGGGCATGCTCTAGTGCCCGAGGTTATTGGTTTATGGTGAGGTGTTGAGTGTGGGGTTTAGTTGGTGGGTGCGGTGTTTTTGGTGGGCGTTGGTGTGGTGTGTGTTTTTTTTTGTTTGGTTGGTTGGTTTTTTTTGTGGTTGGACTCGATGATCTCAGAGGTCCCTTCCAACCACTAAGATTCTGTGATTCTGTGAGCTGGAGCGGGTCCATGTGGGTTCTCATTGCAGTTCATGCTGTATCCAAGAGAGGCAGTGGCTCTGTGCTGGCTCTTAGTCCTCTGCTGAGGGCTAAAAGGTGGGATGGGGTGGCTTGTAGCTACTTGTAGCCATGGGGACTAATCATGGCAGCAGGGTGGTGCTACTCCTTGAGGAGGTCCCCAGGCCCCAGAGCTGGGGTGTGGGGAGCCCAGACAGCATGTGCAGAGGCAAAGGCTGGGGCTGTTGGGGCCACCAGGGCCAGTTGCAGAGCTGGGACTAGTGGCTTCTGCTGTGCTGTGAAGTGCTTGACTTGCTGGTTTTTTTTTGTCAGGGAACAACCTCTATGGTGAAGAGCTCAAGCAGGTTCTGGAGAAGATCAGAGACAGCCCTGAGAGAACCTCCTACATCTTGATGGATAAGATCAAACCACAGCCAGCAATGAATTACTTGCTGAGGGCCCACAGTCCCCTCCAAGTGTCCGAGTGCATCTCGGAGCTCGGGATTTTTGGTGTCTACGTCAGGTGAGAAACACGTTCGTGTTACGGGGTGGTTCCTGGCACTTGGGTTGGGTGCGTTGGCTGAAGCAGCATCAGGGCAGATACCTCTGGAGAGGTGGAGGTGACCCTTCAGTCTCTGCCCCTGTCAGCAGCTCTGGGTGCTGTGTCCAGGCACTGAACTGCTGCTCTGTACCTGCTGCCAAACGGGTTGTTGGAAAAGGGCAGGGCTGGTGCTGGTGATCACTGGTGTAACAGCCACATGGAACTGGTGCATCCCAGCCCTGATTTCTGGGAGCCCTGCTGGGTTCTGGATGCAGCCACATACATACTCTTCTGAACCCCTGGCCATCTCAGGAATAGCTGAAGGCTTAACGCAGTCGTGTTCAACCCTAAATACCTGCTGCTTTGTTTAAAACCCTCATAGGCCCCAAAAAATGTTGCCAGAGCTTATAAATTAAAATCCTTCTCATACAATTTTAGAAACCAGTGTTCCCTGGCAGCGTTCAGAACTGCCTGGGTGTGGAGCAGTCGGACCAAAATGGCCTGGCTGGGAAAGGCCACTGTTGCTGGTGGCACAGAACAGGGACTTCTTCATTAGCCCTGGGGCTTACAGGCGCCGGTCACTTAGAATCATAGAATTGCCCAGGCCGGAAGGGACCTCCAAAGGCCATCTAGTCCGACCCCCCCGCAGTCAGCAGGGACACCCCCAACTAGACCAGGTTGCCCAGGGCCTCATCGAGCCTCTCCTTGAATATCTCCAGGGAAGGGGCCTCAACCACCTCCCTGGGCAACCTGTTCCAGTGCTCCACCACCCTCACAGTGAAGAACCCTCTCCTCATCTCCAGTCTAAATCTGTTCCCCTCCAGCTTGAAGCCATTGCCCCTCGTCCTGTCACTGCAGGCCTTTCTAAACAGGCTCTCCCCAGCCTTCCTGTAGGCTCCCTTCAGGTACTGGAAGGCTGCTATTAGGTCTCCCCGGAGCCTCCTCTTCTCCAGGCTGAACAACCCCAGCTCCCTCAGCCTGTCCTCGGAGCAGAGGTGCTCCATCCCCCTGATCATCCTTGTGGCCCTCCTCTGGACCCTCTCCATCAGGTCCATGTCCTTCTTATATTGAGGGCTCCAGACCTGCACACAATACTCCAGGTGAGGTCTCACCAGAGCAGAGTAAAGTGCTCTGTGCTGTGGTGTGGGTCGTGAATCCAGTTGTCCAAGGTGACATTCCCTGAGCTTCCTGGCCTGCAGCTGCTGAGGTGCCCTTTTCTTTGCAGACGGGGCAAGGAGCTGGTGCTGAACGAGGCTGCGGGCCACCTCCTGCGGACAAAGGCCACGGAGCACGCGGACGGCGGGGTGGCGGCCGGGGTGGCGGTGCTGGACACCCCTTTCTTGGTGTGAGGAGACGATGCCTCGTCCCACCCGAAGAGCTGATCTGCTGCGGGGATGTTCTCCTTGGGGTGCGCTTACCACGGGCTGCGGCGCTGGGGAGCGGGAGGAAGGGCTGCGTGGACACAACTGCCCCCACAGCCCCTTGCCCTGGTCCCGGTTTCATGCTCCTCGATGCTGCTGTTATTTCCAGAGCTGCAGAAACACAAAGCCCCGGGGGACTGGGAGGAGAAAGGGGGATGTGGGATTTGTGGCCCGGTGCTTTCCAGAGTGACAGAGGGGAGCCCAGCTCTGCTTGCCCGTGGCCCCTCCAGCCCTCCTTCAGGTGCTGCTGCCCTCATTTCTACTTTTCCCCGTGCCTGAGGATCCTCAGGGTTCCTGCACAAGGGGCAGCAGCCCTGGTATAATTCACCCAAGGGCTTCTTGCTTCTGCTTTGCCCAAATCCTGGGGTTTTTTTGATTGGGAACTCATCTCAAACAGTGCCTCTGCACTATGCAAGGCAGGCACCAGCACAGAATGCATCTGGCAGGCCCTGCCCTCCCTGTGGGACACTGCCTCTGCTCCTGTCACCTTGTCCAGCAGCTCCCCACGGGCTGCCATGAGAAGCCATCAATGATGGTGGCAGATCCCAGTGCGATGCTGAACTGGAGCTTTGTGTCACAGCCAACGTGGCCACAAACCCTGAATCCCCAAGGGCTTGTACCAGTGCATCCCCCTGCACCCACTGAGCATCTCCTGCTGCTCGGGCAGCCCAAGAGCGGTGCTGGGGAGCCCTGACCTTGGTAATGGTCCTGCCTGCAGAAACACAAAGCCCCGGGGGACTGGGAGGAGAAAGGGGGATGTGGGATTTGTGGCCCGGTGCTTTCCAGAGTGACAGAGGGGAGCCCAGCTCTGCTTGCCCGTGGCCCCTCCAGCCCTCCTTCAGGTGCTGCTGCCCTCATTTCTATTTTTCCCCGTGCCTGAGGATCCTCAGGGTTCCTGCACAAGGGGCAGCAGCCCTGGTATAATTCACCCAAGGGCTTCTTGCTTCTGCTTTGCCCAAATCCTGGGGTTTTTTTGATTGGGAACTCATCTCAAACAGTGCCTCTTCTGCACTATGCAAGGCAGGCACCAGCACAGAAAGCATCTGTCAGGGGACACTGCCTCTGCTCCTGTCACCTTGTCCAGCAGATCCCCACGGGCTGCCATGAGAAGCCATCAATGATGGTGGCAGATCCCAGCGCGATGCTGAATGGGAGCTTTGTGTCACAGCCAACGTGGCCACAAACCCTGAATCCCCCAAGGGCTTGTACCAGTGCATCCCACTGCACCCACTGAGCATCTCCTGCTGCTCTGCTCCTTGGGGAGCCCTGACCTTGGTAATGGTCCTGCTGGGACATGGGGTGGCCTGAGACTGGGCCTGGTGTGGCAGGGAAGGGACAGAACTGCAGTTGCTGAGGGCTTTAATCTGGGACCAGCACCAGCAGGAGGGGAGAGACATCTCCCTCCAGGCTTCATGACTCGGTGGGAACAAGGCAGTGGTGGAGGGACTCCATCCCTCTTCCTCCAGCCCCTCTTCCTCCTCAGCCCCAGCAGTTCAAGGCAAAAGGAGAAGATGCCCCTTTCTGGCAGTGCCCGGGTAAAGAGCCCAGGCAGCCTCAGCTCTGTTTTTTTCGGTGATGCCGGAGAGAAACCATGTAAAGCCAATTATTTCTGAAGAATGAATGTGCTGATTGCTGTGCCTGCACCCTGCTGGGCTCACTGCCCCTGGGTGCTCCAATCACCCATCTTTCACCCTGCAAAGAGCTCACTTCTGTGAGTGTGACCGATTCCGGGATTCCTGGGTGGTTTTTTTGTTGCAGGGGGGCGGGGGGGGAGTTGATTACCCTCAGCCAGAAATTAAAACGGATATGCAAATCTGAATGCTGGTCTCGTGCCAGGTTTGTCTGAGAGGAGAGGTGGAGGGAGGGGGTGCCTCCTCCCTGGGCAGGGCCCTTTCATGTCCCTTCACACTGGGGCCAGCTGAAGCCAGCGCAGCAGGTTCTGCTCTGGCTGCTGTAAGGCCACACAGCTCCCTGGTGGAGAAGTAGCCTGGGACCCAGCTCTGCGGCTGGATGGAGATGCTGGGGTGAGGGGTGCTGGGTACGACCCTCTCCAGGAGAAAGCACCATGAGCAGCAAGAGCACAGGGTTCCCTGGAGCTGTGAGGAGCAGGACAGCACTGTAGCATCCTCCCCGAGTTGCTGCTGAGGCCTGAGCTGAAGGTGACGCTGGGGAGCAGAGAGGTGGAGGCTGGTGGCATCCATGGCTGTCCCTGGGTGAGGACCAGGCCTGGTGTGGTGGGAAAGCAAGCCAAGCCCTGAGCTTCCTTGGCTGCTTGGCTCTTGCATGGTGGGGTTCATGGTGCTTTCCATGAGCCGTTGTGGGCTGATGTTGGCTGGAGACCAGGGAGAAACTGAGGCACAGGCTCCAGGCCTGGAATCAGAGGTTCTGCCTTTGCCCTGCTGCCACAACCAGTAAGTCCCAGTCTGTGATTAAACCATCGCACCGGCAGCAACCAACCCCCACCCATCCCCAAAAACCTACCCCAGTTCTCAGCGCTGTCTGAGCACCCCCATCTCTCCCAGAGAAGCACCTACGACACACTCTAAGCCCTTTTGTTTCCTTGAATTTTATTCCATTTTGCATAAAATCCTTGGCTCTTTCCAGCCAAAAATGACAGAGCGGATGAAGAGTAACGGGAGGAGAGATGATGCAGGAATCCTTGTGGAGGAGGTGGCACGGTGCAGTGGTACAGAGCAGGGGGGGACACGTGGGACACTGGCAGGCACAGAGGTTACGGATCACGGACAAGTGCTGTGCCAGTGAGAGCAGCAGGTAAGAACTGAGAGCTGGGACTGGGCCAACAGCCTGCCAGAACAACCTGCAACACTAGCCCTTGGGCTACCAAGCCTCAGAGGTGGTGGCCTCATCCTTTCCAAGCCCAGCCCAGCGTCAGCCTAGTTTGCAGGTGAAGCCAAAGCAGCTGTTGCAGCGGCAAGTTTTAAAGCCCGTTTCTCCTTTGGTTTAAGTGCAAAAAAAAAATAATCAAAGAGCTCACATGCAGTTTTCACACAGACACGACCGAGGAGGTACCTCTCACCCAGCTCAACCCGGGGCTGGAGTTAAAGGTCATTCATTTGCAGAAGAATGGCTTTGGCAGAACCCGTGAGATGGGCAGGCTCTTGGGCTAGAGGTTCTGGGGTGGTTTTTTCCCCCCTCTCATCATCATCAAGCCATGTCAGATTTAAGCAAAAGCTCAAAAGCTAACTTTAACCATCTTCTGCTGTTCTGTTTTGTTTATTTTTTTTTTTCCCTGATGAGAAAATACCATCTAGGACTAATCTTGCTTTCCCTGCTGCAGCCATGGTCGTGGTGAGCTGGACCCCAGCGCCTGGTTTGCCTGCAAAGGGAAAGGTGCCTCCTCATGGCTTTTTTCCCCTCCATCCCTTGGCAGCAGCAGCACCAACTCCTGCCCCAGGAGGAGAGAGGAGCCTCTTTCAACTCCCAGCTCGCCTTGGAGCAAGTCAGACCAAGACTTTCCCTCCCAGACCACACTGGAGGACGCTGGATTGGGAAAAACCAAACCGCTGTGCAGTTCAGAAGCAGCAGATCTTGGTACCAAATTGCTCCAAAACACAAAAAAAAACCTGCTTAAAACCCTTGAGCTTTGCCCCACTCCCTTTCGGGCTGGGGGGACAACAGGCTTGGGCAGTGGATGTGACAAACTCAGCTGCACAGTCACAATGTGAGAGCATTTTAAAGTCCTCCCCAAGTTGCCACAGCGGGTGACCCTCCCCCTGCCTGCCCTGAGGGACCCCAGCACCGCTTCCCCTTCCCTCCAACCCCCTCCCTTCCTTCCCCCCGCACGTAAGGTGCCACATAAATTACATCAACTTTAATTAACACCCCAAAAAAATTAAAAATCAAGAACGAGGTGTTTAAAAGGGGAGTCCCCTCCGTGCACCAGGTTGAACCCCAAAATGGGTGATACCCATCTGGAACATGACGCACACGCTCCTGCGAGGCAGGGACACGCTTGGGAGACCCGGCCTCTCCTCTCCCTCGTTTGTAACGTTCGTACATTCAATTAACGGGTGAGGGTTTCCTTCCCAGGGCAGAGGGCGGTGATGGAAGGGCCCTGCTCACCAGTACAGTTCTGCTCGGCAGGGACAGGCGACGCCGCTACTGCTTCGTGTCACATCGGCTGCTGAAAAGATGTTTTATGACGCCCGGGTTTGCCAAAGTGGAGATGTCCCCCAGATCTTGGTCATTTTTGGCAATCTTCCTTAATATCCGCCTGGTAATCTTTCCTGTAACGACAGCCACAGAAGGAAAGCGGGAGTCAGGATCTCTTCAGCATCCTGAGCAGGAGCGGGGAGTGCCCAGACCTGCAGAGTCTTGAGGTTGCTCCCCTCTCCAGGTGAGTGGCCCCAGACAAGCAATTTGGGGCTGATTTCCTGATTTCCTTCCACTGGGAGGAGGTGCTCAGTCCCCAGCACCCTCCCTGGGCCCTTACCTGAGCGGGTTTTGGGCAGGCTTGGGGCGTACTGGATGTAATCAGGGGTGGCTATTGGGCCGATTTTTTCTCTGACTGAAAAAAGAAAAAGAAAGAGATTTTCATTGTAGGTGCTGGGAGAGGTCACACACCTCCTTTTCAGGCAGGATGACCAAGTTCAGACACACAGTGCCCAGCTGCTGGGGAAGCTGGTAGGGTGGTGCCCAGCCAAGCCTCCAGCTGTGGGAGGGGGCAGCAAGACCTGCAGCGCCAACAGGGTCATAGACACATCTTGGAGTCACAGAATGGGTTGGAAGGGAACTTAAAGACCATCCAGTCCCACCCCCTGCCCTGGGCAGGGACACCTCCCACCAGACCAGGTTGCTCCAAGCCCCCTCCAACCTGCCCTTGAACCCCTCCAGGGATGGGGCAGCCACAGCTTCTCTGGGCACCCTGGGCCAGGCTCTCACCACCCTCACAACAAAGAAGTTCTTCCCCACATCTCAGCTCCATCTCCCCTCTTTCAGTGTCAAACTGTTCCCCCTCATCCTATGGCTCCCCTCCCTGATCCAGAGTCCCTCCCCATCTCTCCTGGAGCCCCTTTAGGGACTGGAAGGGGCTCAAAGGTCTCCCCAGAGCCTTCTCTTCTCCAGACTGAACCCCCCAACTCTCTCAGCCCCCCCCTCCCAGCAGAGGGGCTCCAGCCCTCCCAGCCTCCTCTGGCCCCGCTCCAACAGCTCCATGTCCTTCCTGTGCTGAGGACACCAAAGCCAGAGTCCTTCCCAAAGGCAAGAGCAGTCATTTTTTCATTCTCTCCATCTTCAAGAGCCCTCTATAATGGCTACACCAATCGCTATTACCATTTTGATGGAGCAAGGACTGATTCACTGTCGGGTTCCTAGGGAGAAGAAACTCCCATGGGTGGGTTTCATGTATTAAATGCTGCAGTCTGCTGTGGCAATGGAAAAGCTCCCTTGAGACCAGAGCACAAAGCACCCGGAGTGACCAAACAACCCCTGCAGCAGGTCAGAACCTGCCAGGAGAGCTGTGAGAGCCGTGCCCACGCAGGCCAGCACTGCTGCAAACAAAAGCCTGCTGGGTACCCTGGTCCTTCTCAGGGCTGCCAGCTCCCAAGAGGTAGAGATGGCATCACATGAGCAGCCAAAGGC